ACACACACACACACACACACACACGTCGCCATCTCCTCAGACGCAACGACAGGAGAGACAGGCCAGGAAAACAACGGTGGACATTACTGGCAGCATCAGTCATGATCTCTCGCGAATGGCTTTTGCTATCTCCATAAGGGCTTCAGACATCATTTTGTTCGCCTCGTCCGCCGCAGCATAATGTTTCCTCTGCACTTCCACTTCGCTCTCCAAGATATCGCATTGACGTGACATCATCGAGCATTGTCGCTTGCTCGCGCTGTCCATTGTGCTCGCCATAAGCGCATCATGCTTATCCATGACGTCGGCGACGACCTCAATGGTTTGTTGCCGCATGTTCTTCCTCTTCCCATAACCGCCGCCGCTCCCCGCGCTGAATGTGGAGTCTCTCGTCGACCCCTGCTCCTCATCGACTGCGTCCCCTCCACCCTCACTGCCCATGGTGTCACCTGCAGCCCCAGCGCCTGCCGGCATCTGAACCCCACCGGCCGCCCCCGTGTCCGCCAAATTTTTCGGGTGGATTGTGTGATCCCCCTCCGTCATGGCCTCCATTTCGTCGTACACGCTCCGGTCCATGACGAAGCTGAAGCCCTCCGACCGCCTCTCCTTCGATGCAAGCTTGAAGTAGTCTTTCCCGCCGGAGAGGTTCTGGAACTTGTGGACCTTCTTGAATTGCTGCATCAAGTTGTCCCATTTCTTCCCGCAATCGACAACATCCCTCGTCACGCCCATCGACTGCAACCTCGCCCGCACATCCTCCCACTTCCACTCCCTCGTTTTCATGCGGGCGAAACTAGTGCCCATGCCGGCGATATACAGATCTTGGTCCCTTCTTGCCCTGACGAGTGCAATCGTGTCTCCCACCGACCAGAAATTTCGGCCGCCCTCGCCATTGCTCCGGCCCGTGTCGTCATCCATTTTCTTATTCCGTCGACTTTTTGCAGCGGGACCCTTCCTCGCAGTCGCTCCACCCTTCGTCGCTTTCCTCCCCAGCGGCCTTATGTCTGGCAAATCGTCGGAGTTGCAATCGCCGTCACCGTCAACGTTGTCACACCCCCGGGCCTCCTCAGCAGCAGCTTCGTCCCCTTCGTCCACGTGGAGCCGTTGCACCCCTCTTGTGATTGTCTCCGTTCCACGTTGATGCAAGGCCTGCCTGCACTCTGCCCACAGCTCCCTGCCATCGCACTGTACGTCCGCACCTTCCTAATGCAAAACCTCCGGCCGCTGCCGTGCACAAGGAGCGTCGGATCCGCTCCGCGACGAAGGTGACAACCGCATCCACTCTGGACGTTCACACGCACCGACTCCTCCGCCGATGGTCGACGTGGACTCGTTCCGTTTACCGCCACCTTCACGAAGCGATTGAGGGAGACCACCGTCTCGCGGCCCGCACACACCGCCGTGCGTGTTGTCCGTGCAATCCACACCAGGGTGGGGATTGATGATCCGAGTGTGCGTTGCCGCTGCTCCGCTGCTGCTGGACAACTGGAAGCTCACATCAACCGCGACGTGTAAGTCCACGGGGTCTCCACCCGCCCGCCTCCGCACAACTGCGTCGCCGCCCATTCCTGCGTAGACCCACTTCCCAACGGCAAAGTCGACGACCTTGCGTCTCCCCCCTCGTCATCCGACGGCGGCAGAGGAATCTCGTGAGAAGGCAGGCCTGCACGTACGGCCGCTTCGCCACAGAACCCGCACTGTGTTGGCGATTGCTCGCTCCGGAGGTTGTGCCTGCCGGTCTGCCATTGCCTACTCGTCGATCCATCCTGTGGGCTTTCTTCGAAGATCTCCTTCTGCGAGCCGCGATCGGGACGAGGCCGACGAAACACACGTGGAAGAAGACAACGAGGAGAAGCAGCACGACGATGAGGACCAGCAGAGGCAGCCTATGCAGCAGGTCGGCCATGTAAGGGCCGTTCAAAGGGCTACAGTGTGACGTCGGCGGTCGACCGTTCAATGAAGAAGCCCGTCGACAGAAGAGAGATCGGTGAAAGTTTTGTGCTCCAACGTGCGAGGCGTGACGACAATCGAAGAAAACGACGATCTTGTCCAATGAGACTGTCGTCGTCCAAAGGGCGCCCAGTGGGAAAAGCATTCGAATTTTCGACCGTTGTCGACGATCGCCCGCCGCAGCAGATCGTAGTGGACGCCGGCCGGCATTTCGCGTCGACGGACGGAGGCCTCCCGACGCCGGTGACCGTTTGGAGCCGTTGGGGCGCCGTGCACATTTTGGATGCAGGGATGTCCGTGCTCCGGTTCGCTGGACCACGACTGGACCATCGTTGAACCGAAATTGAACGTCGACGCATGCCCTCGCCGCTCCGAAATTCGCGCTTCCTTGTGCTACGAGGGACCTCGGGAGGTCCCTTGGGGCTAAGGAAAAATTGGCTGTGGCCACAAGGACGCCACAAGGAACTCTCCCTCTGGTGTTTTCACATTTTTTTTCGAGAATCGTCCCCAAGTACAGGTGGAACGATCATTTCCTTGTGAATTTCGGGTCCCCAAGGAGTGTCTGACGAGGCCCTTAGCCTGAAAAAAAAACGACTGGTGGGTACCAACTGATCCAGCTCAGTTGGTACACCCTTTAACTGTTGAAATACAGACCCGCTGGAAGCAGATGAGTGAAATGCCACAATGTGAATTGTCTAAAGAGCCTGTCAGTTCGATGATAATATCTTCTTTTTTTTCCTTCTTTTTCTCTTCTTTTTTTGGGGGATGAAAATATATCAAGGCTGTGGCCATTTTTGAAACAAAAAGAGATGGGGAAAAAGCACCTGTGGATGGGCTTGGTGGGTTCGTGACGTAGGGGCTCGCCACACCTATCCCGAAAACTGCAATTTTTTTTGAGAGTGCTCTCCAATGTGGAAGTTGGAGAAAATCCCTTCTAGAGTTGTCCTCACCACACTGCACTCTCGAAGGTGGCACTCAGGAATTTGTTAGCGGAGGCCCGACATGCTTCAAGAGCACAATGTGGCTACGCGGGCTGCCCCAGAACGCGCGGCACAAGTAAAAACGAAAATCTTAGCTGCACAGGACCAGAAACATCGCTTGTGTACATTGTGGTGGGGGAAAGCGCAGGCCCATGGGCCAACCACTTGTTGGAGAGAGCGCGCGCCGCAAAAGTAAAAACGCAA